CCTTCTTTTCTGATAACAGGAGTTTAATGCATTACATTTGCCTCTGGGAACTGTTTTAGTTGCATCCCACAAATTTTCATCAATTTAAAATGCTTTCTAATTTCCCTTTTCATTTCTTCTTTGACTGGTAGGCTATTTGGAAGTGTGTCAGTTGTTTCCATATAGTCTGGGGCTTTTCCAGATATCTTTCTGCCATTGATTTTTCATTTAATTCTTTTGTAGCCAAACAAATGCTTTGAATCATAAATTTATTGGCAACTTGTTCTATGGCCCATAATATTATCTATTATGGTAAATGTTATATACACTTATGAAAAGAATGTGTATTCTGCTGTTGTTGGCTGGAGAGTTCTAGAAATGTCAGTTGGTGTTGTTCAGGTTGTCTGTATCTTTGCTGATTTTCTGTCTGCTTCTCCTATCAGTTATTGAGAGAGGGGATGGAAATTAGTTGTGAATTTGTCTATGATAGCAGTTTTTCCTTCATATTTTAAATCTCTGCTTTAGATACATAAACATTTTAGGATTATTTTGTCTTTTGTCATTATTAAATGACCTTCTTTATTCCTGGTAATATTTGCTCTGAAGTCTACTTTGTGTAATATTAATTTAGCTACTCCAGCTTTCTTTTTAGCATGGTATATCTTTTTCCATTCTTTTATTTTTACCTATGTGTGTCCTTCTATAAAGTGGGTTTCTTTTTTTTTTTAAGATTTTATTTATTTATTTGACAGAGACACAGCGAGAGAGGAATACAAGCAGGGGGAGTGGGAGAGGGAGAAGCAGGCTTCCCGCGGAGCAGGGAGCCTATGTGGGGCTCGATCCCAGGACCCTGGGATCATGACCTGAGCCGAAGGTAGACGCTTAACGACTGAGCCACCCAGGCGCCCCTAAAGTGGGTTTCTTTTAGACATTATGTAACTGGGTCTTGTTTTTTAACCTGTGTGACAAATTCTGCTTTTTAACTGAGGTGTTTAGATCACCTCATCTGTTTATTAAGGCAAAATTAATTAAAATTTGCCATTTTGTCGTTTGTTTTCTATTTGTACCATCTGTTTCCTTTTCTCTTTCCTTCTGCCTTTTAGATTGAGTGTTTTTATCCATTTTGTCATCTTCGTTGGCTTATTTGTTAAAACTCTTGTGCTGGCTTTGTGGCATTCATCTTGAATATCCTCCAGTTGACCTTCACATGACAGACTGCTTGAAGCCTTGAAATGGTATGCTTCTGCTTCTCCCTTCCCAGCTTTTGTGCTGGTGTTGTCAAAGTTCTGCTTCCGCAATATAGGATACATATTTTTGCTTTATTTTTATTTTTTTATTTTTTTTTTAAAGATTTTATTTATTTATTTGACAGAGACACAGCGAGAGACAGAACACAAGCAGGGGGAGTGGGAGAGGGAGAAGCAGGCTCCCCGCTGAGCAGGGAGCCCGACGCGGGGCTCGATCCCAGGATCCTGAGATCATGACCTGAGCCGAAGGCAGATGCTTAACGACTGAGCCACCCAGGCGCCCCCATGTTTTTGCTTTAAAAAATTCTAGGTTGACTACTTTTTTTGTTTTCAGAATTTAAAAATGTCACTCCACCATCTTTCAGCTTGTATCGTTTCTAACGAGAAATCTGCTGTCATGTTTGTTTGTTTTCCTCTGCAGAATACGTCTTTTTTCTCTGGCTACTCTTAAGATTTTCTCTTTATCACTGGTTTTAAGGAATTTGATCATGATGTGCTTTGGAGTAGTTTTCTTTCTGTTATGTTTGGGGTTCACTGAGTGGCTTGGGTCTGTGGGTTTTCATCAGATTGGGAAATGTTTTTGTCATTGTTTTTTCAAATATTTTGTCTGTCTCCCTGCCTCCCAAGTCTGTGTATCACACAGCTCACAGTTCATTGTTTTCTAGCCTTTTTTTTCCGGTGTTTTAGAGTTTCTGTTGTTGTCTTCAAGTATTCATCTTTTCCTCTGTGAAACTGAATCTGTTCGTCCTATGCCTTGCAGTTTTCATCTCTAGGCAGTGGATTTGTTTCTTTCTTAAAACCTTCCATATCTACTGAACATGTTTGATTTTTCCTCTAGCTTTTTTTTTTTTTTTTTTAAGATTTTATTTATTTATGTGGCAGAGAGAGACACACAGCCAGAGAGGGAGCACAAGCAGGGGGAGTGGGAGAGGGAGAAGCAGGCTTCCTGCCGAGCAGGGAGCCCAATGCGGGGCTCGATCCCGGGACCCCGGGATCACAGCCTGAGCCGAGGGCAGACGCCTAACAACGAGGCACCCAGGCGCCCCTTCCTCTAGCTTCTTGAGCATTTGTGACACAGTTTTAACTTTAATGTCCTTGTCTTCTCTATCATTTGTACCTTTTCTGAGTCAGTTTTGATTGAATTTTTTTCATTTTGGTCCTAATTTCCTGTTTCTTTGCATGTCTGGTAATTTTTTTATTGCATGCCAGATGTGAATTTTGCCTTTTTTGGTTACTGCGTATTTTTGCATTCCTATAAATATTCTTGAGGTTTGTTCTAGGATGTGACTTGGAAACAGTTTGAACCTTTCAGCTGTTGCTTTTAATTGTTGTTAGGCTGCGTTTAGTCTGGAGTTTATTTTTCTCCAGTAACAAGGCAGGACTCTTCTGAGTACTTGACTCAGTGCCCCACAAGTTATGAGCTTTTCCAGACTGGCTCCTGAGAACAGGCACTGTTTGTGGTCCTGCTGAACTTCTATTATTGTTTCCCAGTTATCCTTTAGGGTGGCCTGGGGTAGTTTCCTCACACCACACACTGATCAGTACTCTGCTTCATTCCCTGAGGGGTTCCTCTCTAGATCTCTGGAGTCTTACTTTTATGCTGCTCTCTCTTCTCCAGGACTCTTGGGAGCTGTCCTGTGAGTGCTCCCTGCCTTGGTTTCCCCCAGTTTTTAGCTGCATCCACTTACTCCAAGAGTCTTCTGCCCCCCCTGGAGTCCTTCTCCTTGCTTTGTAGGCTGGAAATGTTCTTGAGGCCTTAAGGCTCACCTCACATGCTCCCTGACTTAGGGATCACTATTCTTTGTTGCTTGATGTCAGTGTCTGGAGAACTGGTGTTTTCTAATATTTTGTCCCCCTTTTTTTTTCTCCCAGTTGTTTCAGGTGGGCAGTTAAATCTGTCCCTATAACTCCATCTTGGCTGGAAGCCTTTATAAAATATACAGCATTGTGACTCTTTTGTCCGTGTCATATATTTAACAAAGGCTTTCCTTATGGTTAGATTGATTGATTTACCACAGTGTGTAGTGGCAGGTAGAGAAGAGTGAACACTGGATTCATGATTCCTTTCCCTGGCCCTTCCTCCCTTCCCTACCTCACAGTGGAAGACTCTCAGACATATGCCTGACCCTTGGGGGGGATGTGGGTTGTCTCTCCTTGCAGAGCACTCTGAAGAGGCTCTCTGGTGAAGGTACTAACACTATGGTACATAATGTCCTGTGTGGCCGTCCCGGGGTGGTGGTGAGGGGAGGGCTCAGGCCTAGCTTCTATGTCCTATCTGATTTGGTGGGCTCATCTACCTTGGTTAGAGTGATGACTGGCTCTGGTTACTTAGGCCAGTGATGGGACAGGACCCAGGGGTGGGAATAGTTCCTTTTTCTTTCTGGATTTCAGTGGAATGATTCCAGAATAAGGAAGACCACAGAGGGAGCAGGACCATAGTAAGAGAGCTCTGTTTCTTCTTCCTGTGTTACCAGGTTAGTGTGCAGGACTTCATCCCTCACATCTCAGTGCTTTTCCTTGGTTCCATGTTTGCCCATGTAGCAGCTGTCACCTCACTTCACAAGTCTGGTTTGAAGAACCAGAGTAAATACTTTTGCCTGTGCAGGTCATTTAGTTTCTCTTAGTCATCAATCTCAACTCTGCTGTTGTAGCTCAAAAGCAGCCACAGCCGGTACATATTTGTGGCTGTGTTCCAATAAAGCTTTATTTAAAAAACAAGTGGGAAGGGCAGGAGTTGACCCGAAGGCTATAATTTGCCGACCCCTGCCTCAATTCAGGTCCTCACTTTACTGAGTTGATATTTTTTGTGTGGTTCCCCTATTACAATTGCTTCCAGAAACCATTGCCAGTTCTACCTTGCTTAAAACACAGATCTCATCATATTAGTTACTGACTAAATAACCTCTGGCTTCCTATAACATTTCCGGTAAGGTCAGAATTATCTTACCCTCAGAGCCTCCATAGTCTGACTCTTTTTAGATTTCTCATCTTACCTCCAGTGATTCCCCGTCTGTCACATACCGTCTGCTTGGCATGTTTTCCTGCCCTGTGATACTCCGTAAGCTTTACTTTTTCTGGAATGTTTTCTCCCTTCCCGTTTCGTTATGTGTGTCTATTGAAACCATCCACCTGCCTTGGGAACCCTGTTTACATCCCACCTTCTTTCAGAAGGATTCCAGAGCCCCTCAGGTGTAGGCAGTTTCTCCTTCCTTCATGCTGTTTGAGCACTCCTGTGGTGCGCCCTCCTGATTTGCTCTTTGTCAGGTGTGTGTGTGTGTGTGTCTTGTTGTGTGTGTGTCTTGTGTGTGGGTGTCTTGTTGTGTGTGTGTCTTGTTGTGTGTGTGTGTGTGTGTGTGTGTCTTGTGTGTGGGTGTCTTGTTGTGTGTGTGTCTTGTGTGTGTGTGTGTGTGTGTCTTGTTGACCCAGAATCCCTCCTGAGGTGGAATCCCTCCTGAGGTGGGAGGTGTGCCCTCTTGTGACCTCTGTAGTCTAGCGCAGAGCCCAACTCAGAGCAGAAACGTGTCAGGTGTGTTTGAGGTGGCACATAAAGACTGATGTCTTAGGGGTGCATTGCTCTGGGGACTCGTGTCATTGTGGGCACAGCTCTTGGCTCCTCCTTGGGGCCCGCGTGCAGGCCCCTGAGGAGGCGGGCTGTGGGCAGGCTGCCTGTGTTGGGCCGCACTCCTGGGCCCCGGGTGGTGGCAGGCCTGGCTGTCCCAGGTCCCCTTTGCTGCTGCCGCTTCCTCAACGGCCTCTTGCCCTTTGGTTCCACAGAGCTGCGGTGCAACCCCGGGCAGTTTGCCTGTCGCAGCGGCGCCATCCAGTGCATCCCCCTCCCCTGGCAGTGTGACGGCTGGGTGACTTGTGAGGATGAGAGCGACGAAGCCGACTGTCCAGGTGAGTGTGTCGGGCAGGCAGTTGCCCGGGGCCCCGCCGCTCCATCACAGCTGCGTGATTGTGCTTCCGGGAGGGGGGGATGGCGTCCACTGCAGCCTGTGCTGGATCCACTCACTGGAAGCTTATATTGAGCTGGCCCCCTCCCCTCTCTCCGTCTCTCTCTCTTTAAAAATAGATGCCCAACGCAGGCAGATCCCAGAATTTGCAAGGTCGCAGGGTCAGGGCCGGGGTGAGGCAAGAGGGGTGTCCAGGATGCCACGTTTCGGTTGGCACTGCCAGCCCTGAGAGCAGCGCCCCTGAAATGTGGTGCCCTCTCGCCTGGCTTTGGAGGTAGGTGCTTTTTGAGACCTGGCTAGAGTCCTGTTGAGTGTCATTAGACTGGCTTTGGCTCTGCCAACCCATTCTGCTCACTCAGTCCCTAGTAATTTTTCATTTGGGGGTTTTCTTCTGACAATGCATGGACTCCTAAAGATCTATGCAGATGCAACAGAAAGTCTAAACTGTTGGTTCTCCATTTGGTTTCTGCCCCAGCACCCTCAGGGAGTATAATACACCTCATGAGTAATGGTGTTTGCTGCATCCCTGGTTCTTTTGGGTTAGGATGGAAGATGTAGTATCTTGCATTTGCCCGTGCATGTGTGGGTGACACACATACTAATTTGTTTAAGACCCAGGTAGCACCAGTAATGCCCCTAAGAAGAAGGTGTTTTTATTCTACCTTGAGAACCTCAGACCTAATAACTCTTCAGCCTGGCATTTAAATTTCTTGACATTCTGGTTTGGTTCTACTTTACCAACCTGATGTATTGCTATTTTCACCTTAGTGGCTCCGCTGGCCTGTTTCCTGTGCCCACCCCATGATGAATTTCCTAGCCACATTCTTCATTCATGCCTTTCTTTTTTTCCTGGGATCCTCTTGTTCTGTTTTCATGTGGGCAGATCTTACCTTTCCTTCAGGGCTTGGCTCAGATGATACCACAACACGTAGACATCTCTGGGCCCTCAGATGGCGGTTGGTTTCTGCCAGCACCTCTTCTCTCTCTCTGACAGCATCTAGAACCACCGGTATTTCTCACCATTACCTGTGCCCATGCTTGATCTCTCCTTCCAGACTATGAGCTCCCCGAAAGCAGGAGACCTGTCCTCTTCCTAAGTGTGACCCGGCCTAGGACGGAGGTCCTTTTTAACATTCGGTAAATGGAAGGAGTATTGTAATTCCTGTGGGTCAGGTACTGAAGAAAAAACAGTTACCTTCAACCATGGGGATCAGGTAGGGTATCACATACAAGGTGACATTTGAGCTTGGGACAGTTCTTTGAAGGGGGTTCCAAAACAAGCAGAGGTGGTCTGGTCAGACTACCTGAAAAGATGGCCTTTAGAGGGGATCCCAATTATCCCTGGAGCTTGTTCATTGGATTATGCATGTCTCTGGTTGAGGTACTTGCCTTTCCAAATGAGTTTGAATGGTGGCAGCTGGGCAGCCCTGTGTCTGGAAGCCCACCTGCTCCTTCCTTAGGTCACAGCCTGGAGAGCATGAACTATCCTGTGCTTGGGATGCTGATGCTTCATGTTCTGTCAGCTGCTGAGGATCAGTGGTTGTGACTGGGAGCTTCCCTGGGTCTGCCTTATGGGATGAGACTTCATATCCAGCCTCCTAGAGAATATTCTGAACAAAGAACCAAATGATTCTTGGCTGGCTTTCAAATGGAGGGATGACTTACTTGCTGATCTCAAAGTGCCTTCTGGCTTAGCTTTTAAGGTTGTTTGTAATAACTGTTCTGTTGTGTAGGTACTGAGAACAATGGTAGGCACTCTAATTCATCTTGTTTATCTCTCCATCCACTGTGGACTTGATAAAGGCAGGGACTAGATTTTATTTCTCTTCTGGGCCACATGGCCTGGCACAGGAGGTCACAAGTCACTCAGCACAAGTGTTGATTTGAGGTTACAAAGGTTGCCATATTTTCTCCCCAAACAGAGAAATAAAGTCTGTCCGACAGGAGCCTGGAGTTCTGAGTGGATGGTGTGCTCCGGTCCCTAGCCACTGAGGGCACAATGATCATGGCAGTGTGTGGAAACTCACAGAGCCCTGATAGGACCAAGGAGTGTTTGAAGAGGGGTGGGAGGGCTAAGGTGCTGTCAGACCTCCTGGCTCACTCCTGGCCTCCCCTTGGGTCTGGCACCGTGTCGGTACCATGATGTAGTACCACGCCATGATCCAGGTGGCGATAAGCTTTGATCTCTGGGGTTCTGAGAAATGTAAGTTATGAAAATATACAAGGAATAAGTGTAGTACTTGTTTCTCACTTCCCCAATCATCAGTAATTGCTGAAATTTTGTCATATTTTCATTTTTTTAAATTAATTTTTAAAAAACATCATGAATATGTTAAATCCTCATTTTAACACTCTCCCCTACCAAAAAAAAAAAGAAGAAAAATCTTTGTTAGTGGGGAGGGGAGTGTGGACAGGGAGTTAGCTGATAACTACCTTTGCTGTGGCCTTCCTGTATATGGGGAGAGTTTAAATAAACCTGTGGGAAGCCCTGGCCATGCTTGGTCAGATTTTTGAACTTGGGCTTCAGGACGTTTGGAGGGACCTTATGAGTTTATTGCATTGTCCTTCTGAAAGCCTGCTAAAATGATAGTAAAAGAGTACAGAATTTACAGAAGATATAAAATGGGAAAAGATGGAACAGCAGACCAGTAATTCCAGCATGTTTTTGGAAGATAGGAAATGGGTGGTGTGCTAGATAGAGCCTGGGTATCTAATATGTATATATATTTTTTAAAGATTTTATTTATTTGACAGAGAGAGACACAGTGAGAGAGGGAACACAAACAGGGGGAGTGGGAGAGGGAGAAGCAGGCTTCCCGCCGAGCAGGGAGCCCGATGCAGGACTCGATCCCAGGACTCTGGGATCACGACCTGAGCCGGAGGCAGACGCTTAACGACTGAGCCACCCAGGCGCCCCTGGGCATCTAATATATTGCCTGCATTTCCAGGGCTGGAAGGCTGGAGCTTTCTTATTCAGACCCCACTGCCAGCAGGCTTGGGCTATCACTTAGCCCAGGAGATCCTTCCCATGCAGTTTGGAAGGTAGAAGGGAGGTGGACTCCTCCTTCCTCTGGCAGTCGTGTGGGGGTGCGTGGGCTTAGGCCGAGGTGAGTGAGTACAGCGGCCTCCATAGCCTCCTCTGGCCAGCTGTCGCAGGGCTGCGGGGCAGCTGTGATTGGCAGAGGTTTTCTGCGGTATCCTGTCCTGTGGACGGCTTCCTGACTCTGGACTGCAACTGCAGAGGTGGAATGGAAGGCTGGAGGTGGCTCACTTTTGTGCACACTCCAGCCTCTTCAGTTGTTCTGAAAGTACCTAATGCCCTGTATTAAACGCCTTTATTTTTGAAATACCTACCATGGTTTCTGTTCTTCTGACCAAACCATCTTTGATGTAAATGGGAACTAACATAAGAGGGATAAAATTTTTTAATGGAGAAAAATGTACAACTTTATTAAGAGACATTAAAGAAGATTTGAATAAATAGAGACAAGATATTCTTGGCTAGGAAGACTCAGCATGGTGAAGCAGCCTTATATTGATCTGTGGAGTCAGTGCATCTCCAAAGGGGCTTTTGGGAAATGTGACGAGTCAGTTTTAAAATGTGTAGAAGAATAAAGTCCTAATATTGTAGGACACTGAAGAAGAGTAAGGTGTGAGTAGTTGCCTTACCCCTGTCAAGGCTTACATTATTGTTGGCTCAGGGAGGCACAGATTGGCCCGTGCAACAGAAGAGCTGCCAAAAACAGACCGGAGGAACTATATATGGCACAGGTAGAATTACATATCACTGGGCAGAGGATAGGTTCCTCAGTCCTAGCGCTGTGACAGTTGGCAAAGAATGTATACATAATGTACAGAAAAATCAGTTTCAGGTTAATCGAAGAAAAACTTCTAGAACACAGTCTAGGAGAATATTATGACCTTCGTAATAGGAAAGGGTTTTTTTTAAAGTCACAAAAATAATCAACTCTAAAATAAAAATGACCAGTTTTACTAGATTAAAATTAAGATCTGCTCAGCGGGTGTCTGCTTCTCCTTCTCCTTCTGCCCCTCTCCCTGTCCCTGTGCTCGCTCGCTCTCTCTCAAATGAATAAATAAAATCTTAAAAAAAAAAAAAAATCTTCCCTTTTTCAAAAGGTACCTGTAAAGAATGTGAACAGTCAAGCCACAGAGTGGAAATAAATTCGCAGTATGTATAGCCCTTAAAGTATTATGGTCCAGCACATATAAAGAATTCCTACATATGGACAAAAGACACTCAGGCATGTCACAGAAGAATTAATAAGAACAGTGGTTAAACAGATAAAAAGATACTCAACCTCATTAGAATTCCAAGGCTGCAGTGAGATTCCACTTTACAGTTATTTAGATTGGCAAAAATTAAGATGTCTGTTGGCAGAAATTAAGGTATCAACAAAACCAGTGTTGGAGAGGATGTGAGTGACTTGGAAATCTTATCTGCTGCTGGTGAGGGGGATAAATTGATGCACTTGCTTTGGAAAACTGGCATTAACTTGTAAAGTTGAACATTCTCATATTCTGTGATCCAGGATTTCCGTTTGGGGGAGCTCTAGAGAAATTCTTACAGCACTCTTCCTACTAATAAATATCTTGGAAACAAGCCAAATGTCTGTGTTCACGTGATGGCATATTATGGACCAACAACGGTGAGTGAATAGTAGGTCCTTGGAGCAACATTAATGGATCTTAAGGGCAGCATGTAGGTGACAAAGGCAAATTGCCAAAAAGTACAACACAATAAAGACAAGCAAAAGTGACCATTGTCTTATGTACAGGTACATCCGGGTGTGATAAACAAAAATGGCAAAATGGTGATACACAAAATTTGGGCTGCTGGTTCCTCCCTGGTGAGGAGACAGAGGAATAAGACCGGGAGGAACAACCCTACAGCTGATGTTTGGGTTCTGAAGTAGGGTGGGGGTC